TAATGTCTCAAAAGTTTGTGTGTGTGATTGGTGTGAGTCCGTGTACATGTTTTGTTTGTTCGTTCCCAAAAAATGTATTTGTGCATGCGCTGTGGGTAGGCCATGTTCTTTCAATTTTTTCACATTTTTTTTAATGGAATTTTTTGCCAGTTTCAGAAATTATTGGAGTGTTTTTTTGGGTTCCATATTTTCTTTTGATTTGGATAAGTCAGTTAATTGCAACAATTTAATGAATTTATCAAAGTTGCTGCTATCTGAATTTTGTTTTAACTTTACAGCTGTTGGACAGTGTAATGGAGAAACTTGGTGCAACAGTAAGCTCATATACTCATTTGGACACAGAGTTCTCACACATGATGCAGATAACCAAATCTTACAAGTCTCTGGATAGCATTGAAGGTGCCGTTCTGAGAAACGGAGTTGGCATGAAAGCGAAACTCTCATGGGCTCTTTTACATTCCCTTCTTCATTCAGAAAGAATTGCTTACCATCGGAATGCGTATGTCTGGTTAAGTGACCTGCTTATTGCAGAAATTAGTGAGGAAGGGAATTCAAGTATTTTGTCAAATATAAAAAACATGCAGCAGAAAATTGCCCATGCCGGTGTTCATGATTCTTCAGTTGCTTCAGATGTTCCTTTGCCTATTTGGCTTATGTGTGGGCTTTTGAAGTCAAAGCACAACTCAATCAGATGGGGCTTTTTGTATGTTCTGGAAAGGCTTCTCATGAGGTGTAAGATTTTGTTAAATGAAAATAAAGTCCAGAAACATGGCAGTGATATTGGCAATGTACGGAAAGATAACCGTCTCGAGAAAGCTAATGCAGTGATAGACATCATGAGTAGCGCCTTGTCCTTGGTTTTTCAGATCAATGAAACAGATCGCATTAATATTTTGAAGGTAATTTTCGTAAGAACCAGAAAATCTCTTTACTAAATTTAGGAAACTATTACCCACATATGCTTTAATTATATGGCTTTTAACCAACGGACTGTGAATGTTACCTTTGATTTTGATTGTTTGAAAAAAAACATAAGGTGTACCACTTCTGAATGGTGTAGGGACTGGAGTATTTCTCCACTTAGTCTTGCTGCAGGGTCAATTGAGAGTGTGAAATGTTTTGTCTGCACAAAATCATATTTGGTATATATTGAATGTTTCTTGACCGTATCGGTAAAGATTATTAGTGTAATATTGATAAGGCTGGGTGTCGTGACACGATACATTCTTATATAAGGGATTTACCGGCTGGGAATTTTGACCGGTAGACTTTTATGTAAGAACAAATAAATGAAAAATCAAATTGAGTACATCTAGTGCAAATCTGTTTTTCGAAATAGTATTGGAGAATTTGCTTTGAGTTGCTGCAAAGTGCATTCTCATTTTCCCCCAAGGATTCATGTATGTTTCATGATTTTATGGAATTCTCTTGTGCGTTTTTTTTTTTAGTAGAGGGTATATTTTCCTTATCCCCTATTTTTCTTTGGTTTCTGTAAACAGATGTGTGACATTCTATTCTCTCAATTATGCTTGAGAGCTCCATCTGCAAATACAACAGACTTTGGAGATGATGCACAGCTTGGTAGGGTTCTTAGACGGATGGACGGAAATAAAATAGTTGACGAGAAAGAGAGTTCTCACCAGGATGTTTGTATGGAAGAATCCAGTGGCAGATCTGGCCTCAGTAATAACAATCCTCTAGATCATGAGACAGAATCAATGGCAGCACTTCTTCTCCGAGGACAGGCCATAGTTCCCATGCAGTTGGTTACACGAGTTCCAGCTGCATTGTTTTATTGGCCATTGATTCAACTTGCTGGTGCAGCAACAGACAACATTGCATTGGGTATAGCTGTTGGAAGCAAAGGAAGAGGGAACCTTCCTGGTGCAACATCTGATATACGGGCTACCCTTTTGTTACTTCTAATTGGTAAATGTACTGCAGATCCTGCAACTTTCCAGGAAGTTGGCGGGGAGGAATTTTTTAGGTGATTCTTCAATTCCATGCTACCATCGGATGAGCTTCCTTTTCTTTTTCTTTTTTCTTTTTATATATATTTCTGCTTTTTATTTTGTTGTGTGTGCATATATATGATATATGATTCATTTTTAAGTTATAAATTCAGGGAACTCTTGGATGATACAGACTCGAGGGTGGCATATTACTCGTCAGCTTTTCTTTTGAAGGCAAGAATGCTTTTTCTCCTCTTCCCACAAACAAATTACAGTGTACTGAATATGTGGTGAAGTTTGTCCTGCTAACAATTTTAATTTGTGTTTTACAGCGAATGATGTCAGAAAAACCTGAAAAGTACCAGCACATGCTTCAGAATCTTGTTGTTAGAGCTCAGCAGGTGGGCCTTGTTTTAGTATTGTGCATGCCGTCACACATTCTCAATATGATTCCTGAAAAAGATAATAGGTCATATTTTGCATAGATATTATCGTATTGTCCTGACTTTGATATGGTGCTTGAAATATAGAAATTTTTATAGAAACATTAGAGTATAGGACTATAGGTTATTGAGGATTGTTTTCTTTGTAGGAGCAATATGTCATTGTAAAGTTATGTTTTAGATAACAAAGGTCGAAAGTATGATAGCTTTAGGCAGCCTGATAAGAAACTATGTAGCATTCAACTACTGGATTTATATTCCTTGTCAGAAGAGTCATGGGCGTGTAATATTTCGTACAGACTAAGCCTTATTCTGGAACCAACTTTGCCCTATACTTATTATATAGGGATTATCTCTAGCGACTACTCATCCTTGTATTTGTATTTGTATTGCTGATTAACATGCGTGGGAGCTGGTTTTGAAATCTCCAATTGTCCCATTTAGTTCTCTTCGTAAAGGTCATGATATACGGTTGACAAATTTTAACTGCTAAGGTTTTAAAGGAGATGGCTATAAGGAAGCTTATCGTCTAAACATGTCACAGAAGTATGGATAATAAAGATGGTTTACAATCCCCTGTTGGAACTTGGAAGAGCTTATAATATAGCAGCTAGCTTCTCACTGCCATGTTTACTCTGTGCAGAGCAACAATGAAAAGCTCTTGGAAAATCCGTATCTTCAGATGCGTGGCATACTTCAGCTGGCAAATGATCTTGGAACTGGGTTGTAATCTGGTGGTGCAGAATTGTAGATGTTTCCCTTGACTTGTAGAACAATGCTTTCAAGCGCAGGTTCATGCCATCACAATGACACATGCTAATCCTCGAACAGCACTATTTGGCAAGTTTGAAAAACCTATGTCTGGGATTATGCTCAATTTTCAAAGCATACATGAAATTCTTGGGAAAAGTAGTAAACAGAGGGTAGGAGATGCATTACATGTTGGATAAGGCTGAAAAGTCTTTCGTACCGAACACAGTGGGGACGTCAGCAATCAATTCCTTGTGGTTGTCCTTCTCAAATTATTAGAAAATGGTGAGCCATATCGATATCTACTTCCCATATCTTCCTCTCCATACTGTACATTATGTAATGAACTGTCGGGGGGCGCCTTTGTTTTGTAAAATACATGAAGTTCATGTTCAGCTGAAGGATTATGGCGGGGGCTCGTCAGAAAAAAAGATACTTAGAGCACAAGTAGCTCTCAAAAAGTTTGGAAATGTTTAATTCTTCTTCTGCCTTTCGTTCTGCAACTGGAAGTTGCAAGGCACGGGCGTAGCATGTAGACACATCTCGAGGTATTGCCACCTATTCTCAATGAATTTTGTGCATTATTGTAGCATGGTCACAACACTTTATACTGAGATGTGTTTGTTTAATAATATATGCTTTTTCTGTCGTGTGCATGCAGTTATTGTGCATTACAATGCCAAGAGACCTTGTGGGAAACTTTCGGAGAATATATTCTGTAGAGACTCGAGATTTCCATCTTCGTCCAAGCCTTCGTTATATTTAGTAATTCCTGAAGGCGATATTGACATACATGGGCAGGGAAAGTTTTTTACATTTGTTAACTCATAGAGCTTCGTCTTCCCGACAGCAACGCGAAGAGAATTAATCTTTGTATGCTTAGTGGACAGAGTATACCGAGGTATTAGAGGGTATTACCAGACGTTATGCTACTCTAATTCCGTTACTAGGGGCAACACAGGGGTGTCTGTTTTTTCAGGGCACCCCAAAGTGTGCCTGCTATGATTTTTGAGTCTCCAGGGTTTATTTTTGACATTGTAAATATGTGAATTATTTTCAATTTTTTTTTGTTTTAATTCCTTTTGTCCCGTTTATTTTAACTAATTGTTGATTGTTGTAAAATGGCTATAGTGAAATTGAGTCCTTTTTTGCATGTCTGTTGAGAAATTGTTTTTCGTGTTCAATCAATCGATTTTTAAGAGGAAGTATTGGTTTTATTTCTTGTTGGCTGATTGGTTCTAAATTCGACCGTGACGATGTGTATTTAGATTCCTATACTAAAAAGTCTATTGACAAACAAAGAAGTTACAGAACATGCCGAAAATATGAAACCCCAAAGGCATAATGTGGGAGTAGTAAAAGCCAATCCAAACTCTGAAGATTTTAGAGTTTGAGCAGCGTTTTGGGTTGAGCTTGATGTCATCGCTTCAGAATGAGGAGTCGAAAGCCTTTGATGTCAACCTCTAGACGTCCACCCATCAAACTAACCAACTCCATAAACATTGCCGTAACAAGAACCAAAGAAACCCGTCATCACCAAAAGAATCATTGCACAATTTTCTCTAAGCCATGTAAAGGAGAGATCGAGGGAACTAAGTTTGTGTGAAAGAAGAAAGAGTTTAGGGTTAATCGTGTACAGGTCGAGTTCAGAGACTTCGTAGCAACTGTGAGCAAAATAATATCATCTTTTGGGAGCATCCAATCTGCCGCCATCATATGCCTACCGTTGAAGTGAAATTGACAAGCATTTGGTGCTTCTTACTTGAAATTACAAAGATGTAAGCAGATCAAAATGAGCAACCAAATCAGAGATACTATCCAGAAGATTGCGGCCGAAGCCAGGAAGAAAGATGTCTGCCGGCCAAGAAATTTATCTCTGATGTTCATATATAAAACCAAAAGGGGTGGCATTGTACACATTTTTCTTTATGCAGCTGCAACTCTCTTAGCATGGAGCACAAAATGGAACTTACCACTTCCAGTGTAAAATTAAAGTACCAGTGTGTACATTTCAAATGTGACTTCAATTCACCAGCAAGCGTTTTTGGCGGTAGTTCTCCAAGTCTGCATCCAGATCTTCAAAAGTCACTTTCTCACGAGTCGGCTTCACCTGCTCACGAGGCTGCTTCACCCGTCCATGGCCCCTTCCAAGTCCAAAGCCACCGGTACCACGACCATGAAAGAATCCCCTACCACCAGCTTGACCTCGTCCACTGCCCAAGCACGTGATGAAAAATAAGTTGATGAATGATGGAAACCCCTAAGCTAAGCCCCTAAAATATCTAATTAGGACAATTGAGATGGCATCAACGGGAAATTATTTCACATGCCTTTTCTTTCCTCATTTTCCAACAATTAACTGCAGACAATAGATTATATTTTACTTCTACTCCACCAATCAACTTGTTCTGAATGTGTCTCAATGTTTGCACCGTCTTGCACACATATAACCAACAGCCCAGTACACATACATTACTTATCGAATTATTTGATCTCTGTGAATAATGACAAATTAATATTCTGCTGATAAATTTAGCTTTGGCTAACTGGCAGTCCTTTTTTTTTTGCCGGTTTATCCAGTTACAATTGACAGTCCTGACTTTAAATACAGCACGGATGTGTTATATGGATACGGATGACCCCAAAAGAAAGAGAGAACCTATATACCTTTGGAAGACAACGTTTGGTTTTCCCATCAATCTACTTGTAATTGGAGGCACAGGAACAGGAGCAACAGGACTCACTCCCACAAGCTCAATTTTCATTGGCTTTCCATCAAGCTGAACATCGTTATATTTCTTGATTGCTGTTAGAGCATCTGAATGGTGTAGATATCTAACTTCCGCCGTTCCCTAAATATAAGCAAACCTTATAAACCATCAAAAGGAAAAATATAATTGAGAACAATCTATTGATGTAAAAATTGAAAGATACCTTTGATCTTCCACTCCTATCATAATGGATTGAATGGTGTATCACATGACCAATATCAGAGAAGAGCAACTGCAAGGTAGCATTGTGGTTATCAACTCTTTCACTTAATTGCAAAAGAGTGGGGGATACATACAAGTTTAAGTTTGACACATGTGGTTCTAATGTACGAATTGTCAGGCTGAAGGCCGAGCTTAACAACATCAAGAAGAACTGAGAAACATCCAACTGTAGGATTGAGCAGCACCCTATGTATTATTAGCAACTGCTAAGTTTCTGACTTTACCCGCACACCACTCACATTCAGTTGCACATACAGAAGCAAAAACCAAAGAAACAAAATAAATAGATACGGAAACAAACGTACTTTGTTTTTTTATTCAAATACTGCCATAAAACACATGTTGAACTATTTGTCAGCAGAACCATCCCAGTAACACTAGATTGGAAGATCGCAGTCCATATCCTAAAAAAAAAAAAAAAAAAAAAAATACCCTTTACATACAGGAGACATGAAACGACACATTCTCAATCTTGGTTCCAGGTAAACTTTTTTTGCTCATCCAACCCTCTAACTCCAATCCTACATAGATTACAAAGACCATATGAAAAGATAGAACCCATTTCGAACAAAACCCGTATGGAGATTCTCTGAGCCTGCAAACCAACCACATGACCATATAATATTTTTCAACTTTTTTTGTGATAACTAAAGGTTGTCACCTACATTCCTCCCATGGAACCAAACCCCAAAACATTAAATTGTTCTGCACACAAACAATAACATAAACAAGTTAATAAAACTGGAAAGGGAGCAGAGAGCTACCTCAATATCGCTATTCGAAACCTCATAATCCAAGTTAGATATGTATAATTTGGTTCCCTTCTCTGAGTTTGTCCCCATGGTCACATCCATTTCTTGCTCAAATCTGGATCTTGGAACTTGCATTTTCTGCATCACATTTGTTAATTACATATTAAAGACAAACAACATAAATCCATATGCATAACAGAGCTAAATATACAGAAAGCCAAATTCTTGCTTGGTTCCCGAGAAAGTGTAGCACAGAAAATTTACTTCCGCCTACAAAACTTGAACACGCGGATTAAAGGTTACATCTTTCTTTGTAAAATAATACTAATAATATTATATTAATTTATTTGTATTTTCCCGCATTTCGCAGCAACCAAACAATGCATTAAACTCGTCAAACCGGAAAATGTAGGAAAGGAGAAACGCTAGCGCACCGGTTTAGGAAAGTAGGGCGCCGTTCTAACGGGGTTGCGTTTCACGAGCTGACGAGTGGGTCCCGGCGCGGAGCCTCGGCCGCCTGGGGGGACTCTGAAATCACGGCGATGCCCTCCGGCTTCCGACTTCTTCGCCTTGCGCCTCCATATGAGATCGTCGAGCGACATGTCCAGCGGCGGGGGCATTTCGGGAAATGGCTGAGAGCTGAGGGTTTTGCAAGACAGTGAGTGAGTGAGTGAAAGGGTTTTTGGTTTTGCAGGGCTCAGCAGTACCGTGCACCTGAGGTTTTGCAATTATATTTGCCAGAAGGCGGTTAACAAGTGTTCTCCTCGTGAGCACGCACTTTCCGTGAAACTTAGCCAGAAACGTGACACGTGGTGATCAACTATCTAACCAGTTATTAATAAAACTCTTTTGCAACGACTATTTAGTTTTTTATCATAACAAAAAAGTTAAGGGTGCTAATGTAATTTTACAAACAAAATTTTGCTATTTTTTAGAAAATAAAAAAAAACCCTCTCTTCCTCTCTCCCATCCTCACGTTCTCTCTCACTGTCTTCCTCTCTCCTTCAATTTTAAAAACAAAATATATGATCATTTGATCATAGATGATGCATTTTTGCTCACTGCCATAAATTATGGTGTATATTCACTATACACTTTCTTATTCAACACATGTCTTTTCGCTTAATTTTTGTTAATTTTTTTTTCAAAATTGAAAAAGTAATATTTAATGTGAAAGTTAACTAGAGTTAGGTGAAAAGACACGTGACAGATGTATATGAGGAACATACATTATAGTTATAATGGTGAGAAAAAAATGTGACACATGTATATAAATTTTTTGCACTATCTATTAAAAAAATATTACAATAAACCACTTAAACTTCATGCTTCGTTTATTTATCAATACCAATTTACATTTATTGACACTTTTTATGGACATTTTCGCTATTTTAAGTACATCTACCGTCGTGCTATGTGAGGACTTATATGCAACGAATTTACCATTATTTTGGTGTCTCAATCAAATTAGGCAATGATGTGTATAAATTTTTCTCCACATGACTTGTATTGTTGAATTAGAATACCACGTGGCGATAAACCAGTTCTAACAAGATGCACACTCTCACTAGAGGCACGCAAGTTCCATGAAACGTAGCCAGAAATGAGACAAGTGTCAATCATATTCCCGCTATTTATTATTTACTCTAATATAAATAATGGCTAATGTTCGTAATTTATAACAGTATCAGACCCTTTTTCATTTCAAGCACATGACTACTGACTGAATCAGGGTTTTAGAAAGGGCTTTTCGTGAAATTCCCCGGTTCAGATTCTGGGCGGGTGTGGATCCAGAATGCAGAGGACCATCCCGCTTTTGCGTGGGACTCTGGCGAGAGGCCGCGGATTTTCCACGAGCCCATCGTCTTCTTCCGAGAAAATCGTCGCGTCTGTACTCTTCGAGAGGCTGCCTGTCGTCATCCCCAAAATCGACCCCGTCGTTTATGCGTATCAGGAGTTCGCGTACGTTCGTTTCTTATTCTCTCTCGAGATGTTTTTCTTTCTTGTTTATTTTCTGTTTGGTTGCTCGGAAAATGTGGGAAAGTGAACTAGATTAGAGGGTAGGGGTTAGCTGCCGAGATAGTTGTGGAAAAGAACTGAAAATATGGATTACTTTGCTGTAGAAATCTTTAATTTTGTTGTCAATTCCTCTGTTTGAGTGCTTATTACTTGTCATAGTCTCAAATGGCGGGTTTGGGGCAAGTGGATGATGGCTTCAATTTTGGTTTTTTTTGGTGTGATGAAGGTGCTATGGTGATAGATATTGATCAGAATACCTACATTTTTTAGGAAATTTGGTTTAAATTCTGTTGATTATTTGAATTTGTGTTATGAGTGGCTCATATTGGTGTTTTATACCCTCGGAGTTTAGGTTCCGGTGGCGACAGCAATATCGGCGCATATATCCGGATGAGCTTTTAGACAAGTCTAATGCTAGGTAAGGTTTGTTTTGAAGGTTTACTGCTTCATCTGGGAATATGTTAATGTTTGCTCTTCTTTTTACCTCTATCGTAGCAAATACATCACGTTGTTCACTTCTTTTCTAATCACTAATTTCTTAACCGTAGACCTTCAAAATTCATTAACCCCTAAAATTTGTCCTCGAGAATATCCTGAATTGCACTAAATAATATTTGCTCTGTTTGTTGATTGGAATGTCTTTAGATTTCCAGCGTGTATTTAAACATTTTGTGTCGAGTGTTAGGTCAAACTATTCATCAGTGTAAATGGCTCCAACTCCATGAGTAAGTTTTTAATAGTTGACAGTTTCATGAAATGTTGATATGCATTCTTTTAAAGAAAAACTAATGAAAATGGCTTGAAAACTTTGAGTTTTAACGATAAGGACAAAATAAAGGGTAAAGTGAATAGTACCATGTTTGACATTTTAGTGTAAAAATGTGGTTTTTCGTTAAAGTGAACAGTACCGCAGGTTTTTCGTTAAAACTCCCTTCTTTTAAACGTAGTGGACTGTGTTATATTTCTTTTAACAAGGAAAGGCATGCAAGCATCCTTGTGGAGTTTGTTTTATGCGTCTCTAAGTTATGAAAAGTTATGATGTTGATATTAGTATGAGGAACAATGAGGTTTAGTATATATTCTGGGGGGTCTATCCCTATACCTCATTCATTCTGTTCTTTTTTTATGGGAAGCACTGAAAGCCTACATCTGCCAAGTGATCGTATCAAAATTTATAAGCGCTTTTTTGGTTTATTGCATAAGCCTTACTCACACTTGATGCCCACAAGACAATTGCAAATAGAAGTCATCCTCTAGCTTGACACTTACTTTTGGTGAACAGGGGAAAAGGTGACTACCAAATTGATTATGTACCTGCTCCACGGATCACCGAAGCTGACAAAACGAATGATAAAAAGTATGGAGTATAATTTTTATGATGCTATATAAAAGTCCAGTTATTCTTCTTTTTTTTTTTTTTTTTTTTTTGTTTCCAATTTTCATTTTACGGTTTTGTTTGAAGTTCTTATTGCTTATGATATTGTGGGATCTTCATATTCTTTGTAAAACCTTTTCTACAACCTTCTTGGATGTTAGAAGACAATAAATTGTTTTCTGCTAGCTGTTGGACATTTGAGTGATTTTTATTGATAGTTTGGGGTAATTATTTTTTCTATATGTGAAAAACACAATGTTTAAGGTTGGTTGGTTCCTGTTCTTTAGGTCATTGCAGAGAGCACTTGACAGAAGACTATATCTTCTGCTCTACGGAAACACTGATGGATCTGCTGGGAAGTCAGTCTGGCATTTTCCTGAAAAAGTTTACCAGTCTGAAGAGACACTGCGGAAGGTGATGGTTGCTATACGATGCCATATACTTCTCTTCTTCTTTATCCTCCTAAAATTCCATGTAGTTCTTCGTTTTTTTTCCACAATTGCATAAATCCGTTCTATTTTCAGTGTGCTGAATCTGCTTTAAAATCTGTCTTGGGAGACCTCTCACACACGTACTTTGTTGGAAATGCGCCCATGGGCCATATGGAACAGCCAGAAGAGAATATTAAGGTATACTTTTGTAAATTATGTTTTCTTTCTTACACCAGATTGGCTTCACGCGATAAATGTTAAAATGCATATTGGTGTTGCCTGTCGATCCTGTATATTTAATCACAATTTCATTTTCCTCCATTTTCAGCAATTCTTTTTCAAATCTCAAGTGATTGCAGCCAACAAGTTTGACATTGGGAAGTGTGAGGACTTTGTCTGGGTGACCAAAGATGAACTGATAGAATACTTTCCTGAGAAAGCCGACTTCCTTAACAAAATGATCATCAGCTGAATCCCCCACCCGTTTTTTGTTCCCTGAAAGTTTTTGCATTTCAGTGAAAGAATTAGTATTGACTCTTTATGGTAGATTAAAGCTGGCATAGAGAATCGTAGGTTATAGAAAGCTGAAAATTTTGTGTTCATGCTTTTGGTGGCTGACACTTGACCATATCGGATTGTTTGTCACTTGGATCAATGCTGTTTCTCAATGTAAGTTGCCAGCTTTTTTCGTCTGCAATAATATGTTCCTTTCTGCAATTGGTGCTGCTGATTGATAAGTATACATTTTCTTAGCAAAGCTTCGCATATGCGATATTCCACCATAGTTTCATCGCCCGATTGCGCATGTTCAGATATATGCCAGTATTGTACCTTGAGGCCCTTGGATGTTCTTGTCGTGTAAGGCTGGAAATCCATCCAGGTGACCGATCGTGTGAAGTGAACTACGAAAGGATTCGGTTCGATCGGATTGGATTGGATGGGATGGGATGGGATGAAGGGATAGGATTAGTGTCCTTGGTATGGGTCTTGCCCTTGGGTGTAGGTCACGAAAAGTATATTAAATTAAGGCACCTCTCCCAGGTTAAAATTACAGATTGACCAACCTCTTCTCACCTTCCATCACCTTCCACCACCTTCAAGTATTGGTTGAAAGCTTGTATTATATATACGACTAGGATTTGTGGACAAACGTTTTTGTGAGACTCACTCTATAATGTATTTGAAAGATTCAACCTTTATCTTTTATGACTTACTTCAAACATCAGTCTACGAAAAATATCCAAATCCGAAACTATATGACCATTAAATTAATTTTAATGTTTTTTTTAATTTTTTTTAATTTTTTGTATAACCGTATCACTTCATTTTAACATTTGTAAAAAGATAAATGGAATGAAAGATGTACCGAATCATCAATGCTAATGAAAGATGATCCCTAGTTTTGTTCTTGTGCTACATGGGATATATTTATTTATATGAATCATATAATCTGTGTGATTTTTATTTACTTATTGATAAATATAGACATAACTTACAAGTCACACTAAAAATAAATTTGGAAAAACAAAGTAGATGTTGTAAATATGGATGACATTATTTGGTTTGAATAGATCTTTATGTGTGGGACAAAGTTAAAAAAAATGGCTCGGTGGAGAGGCACACAATTTTAAGGATTTCTAACCAATATTCCTAATCATCACATCTCACAATTCCTATTTAATTGTCAAATATTAGCTCAAAAATAAAACACAAGCAGTAGAAGAAGAAGGTACACAATCTATTGTTTCCATTGCCTTTGTAATTTCAGTTTGATAACGAGAGATACTACTGCTACTGTCATGAGGACGTAGGCACACTTGCCGAACCTCATAAAATATTGTATCTTATTTGATATATGTTCTATTGCACATATATAATCG